TCGAATGCGCAGGGTCAGCCCTGCCTGGGGAACACCATCCCTTCCTGCATGGGTCTAATCTCCGCCAGCGGCGCAGCTCTGACCACCACCCAGGGGCTGCCGGGGGCATAAGTAGGTGCTGAAAGTGCAGAGCTGCGGCTGGGGTGGTTTGGGGCTTTGATGCTCTCCACAGCCAGCCAGCCATGCTGGGAGAGGGTCAGGAGGAACAGAACAAATGGTTCCAAAGTTGGCAAGAAGCAAATTGCTGTTTCTGCTCCATCAATCCAAGTTTCCTGGAAAGAGGTGAGGTGGAGATCCTGGGTCTGTTGCCAGCAGCCTGATGGGACCCGCTAATGGGGATGACAGTCTCATTTTGCAACAAGCAAAGGGCGGGGAAGAGGGTCCCTTGACTCCCACCACCATGCAGCATGGGAGGGAGGTGTTTCAGCTCGTCTTGTGCGGCTCTGTGGGGTTGTTAAGCACCTCGGGGTACCAGCCTGCCCTTGCAGAGGTGTTGAGGTGCTGGAGTTGAAGCTGAGGGGGACTGTGCAAACAGCAGGCATGCTCAGGGCCTCGGGTTGGAGCTGCAGCAGTGACCTCCACACTGCCGGCTGCCCCACAGCCATGCCACAGCGTCCTGTGGCCGTCCTGGCACCTCTGCAGCCGTGGAGGCAGAGCACGGCACTGTGTGTGGCTCTCTGCTTGTAAGGGTGCCTGCAAAAGGGCTGGCGTGCCTTTCCGAAGGACGTGAGCCAGGCACCTCTTGAATCCAGGAAACGTTTCCCCCTTCCTCCCCATTATGATCCCTGTGCTTGGCTGGATGCATCATTGCTATGGTTACAGCTGGGATTTATTTTATTTAGTCTCTTTATGTAGCACCACAGGTACGTGCGGTGAGCGTGGGTGTCCTCTGCCAGGCACAAGGCATTGGCGGACTGTTGGGTCCAGCAGGAAATGCGATTCTGGGCCGGACAGACGCAGGGCATTAATCCAGGCTGGCAGAAGTGACCACAGGATGAGCACAGCTCTCCTCTGCCCGTCTGTCCATGCTACAGGAGCATTAATATTGTCTGCGATCTCCACTAACTGGCAGATGGGTTGGAACAAGGACCCGTCCTCAGAAATGGGTGTCACCGCCATGATTTTTTCGTCCTTCCCAGTGGTGCCAGGGATGTTCCCTGCACACACAAGTGTCCCTTGAAAGCCCGATTCAAACGTTCAGCTTGGAGAGGGCTCCAAGAGCATCCCACGCCAAGCATTAGCAGATGGCCCATTTGATCCGCCTGGTTGAGAGCTGTGTGTCTTCCTAAGGCAATGTCACCTGGCGTGTGCCAGTGAGGCCATGCATCCTCTCCCTGCTGCCGAAGGGGTCATCTGGGGACTGCACCAGGACTCAATGGGGAAAAAGGAACATGAGAGGTCAAAAAGCTGTTTCCCTGCCAGAGATGAACATGTTCTTGGCACTGGAAAGGCACTGTTACTGCAAGCTCTTATTCCAGGGATGCTCCTCGTTGGGATGAAACCGTGCATGGCCTTTCTGGACATAAGGGTGACACCTTGATAACACAGCCACTTGTATGTATTTAAAGTAGCTGAGGAGGAAAGCAAAAATGTGCAAAATTGTGTTGTGCTTTGTTTTGTTTTAATTTAGGAATCTGGGGAAATTTATTTTATTTATTTTTTTTTTTTTGACACAAAACCTGGGATATTTCCCTTTCAGTATAACGCTCCGGGTTTTCAGACTGAAATTCTAATTGGTGGCTTCCCAGTCTTGGACCTGCTAGTGTGTGCGAATGACTCCCCACTGCCTGATCGCCTGCTGTGACACTGCAGTAACAAATGTTTGGGGTGCTTGAGTCTGGAGAAATTGCAGATTTCAGCTGTGTTTTCTCATTAGTAGCTGCCTCGTAGGCCTTTGTAGGAGCAGAAATCCTTTAGATCATGCAGGCTGTTTGCTGCCAAGACAAGGATGCCGCCTGTCGAAGCCCCGTGTGCCATGTCTAGCCTCAGGGCTGCATGTGTCTGGATTGAAAATCCTCAGTTCAGGAGAAAAACTAATCTTGCTGTGGGGCTGCATTTGCAAAAAAAATTCCAGGGCTCATCGGATGGGATGAGGGAGCTCCTCAGCCCTGCCCGGAGGCAGATCCTGGGTTTAATGGGCTTTCCTTGACTTGCCCTGCTTTGGGACCACATACTTCACTGCTTGGATGGTGGGACCACATACTTCACTGCTTGGATGGTGGAATGGGCTTAAAAGAAGGGAGAGTAGACCATGATTTCTGAAAAGGACTGGCCAGCCCTGCCTTCCTATTGCACTTGGACTCTTTGCTGGTGTTTGATTTTGATTTCTTCCCCCTTTCTCCCTGGGGAAGGAGCACTCCCGGGAGCATGGAGCTGGCACGTCTGGCTCTTCTGTTTGTGTAGCAGAAACCAGCTCTTCTAAAACTTGCTGGGAACTGCCTGTTCATCCTACCAAAGCAGCCAGGGTAGGTTTCTTCAGCAGGTGCTATTTTTCTGTAATCTAGCCAGAATAACTCGATGACGGATGAGAACAAGCTAAATTTCCCTTTCCTGTCCTGGTCCTGGCATGCAGCTCACACAGACACAGCCACAAGCTGTGCTTTTCCTTACAGTGCACTGTGGGGCACTTGAGTTTTTGCTATTTATTATGTCAGAAGTATAAAAACGCAACTTTTCCTGGGGTTCTGACATTTGGCTGTTCCCTAGTGCATGACACAGACGGCTCCTGCTAGGATTAAGCTCCTGGAATAGCAAATGGCAAGTGAGAGTTGTTATTTGGTACTATCACACCACATATGTGTTACTGCTTTTGAGGTCTACAAGGCACATAGCATATTGAAGGTGACTAGACAAGGTCCTGATGGATGGCTTGCAGTTGTTTAGCTATCCCTAATGTGCCTGTAGGCTAGTGTATTTAGCAAGAAGTGGAAAAAAATCTAAAATGTCTAACTTTAGTAGCTACTATTTAACATCCTTTGCAGACACTTCTGAAGTGAGAAGTATGCCTTGTCGTAAGATAAGAAGGGATAGCCAGGCCTGCTGCTACTACCAGGCTCTTGATGAACTTGTCAATGGATTCTCCCATTGCAACCTAAACTATTCTTAGGGTCCCTTTGTCTTTCTCCTTCTTGGCCATGTTTTTCATTTGCCCTTTTGCTTTCCCTTTGTGTGCCCTCTCCCCCTTCAAAGAGCCCCGTAACGCTCCCAGGGAGACAGTTATATTCATCCTGATGCGTCTTTCTTCTTCCAGCCCGAAGAGAAGCAGAAGGCCTCTGCAACGTTTGCCCAGCTCCAGGCTGCCATGGGCACACTGGGAATCACAGCGGAGGAGCAGCAAGCCATCTGGCGAGTGTTAGCAGGCATCTACCACCTTGGCGCTGCTGGGGCTTGTAAAGGTAAACGAGAGCTCGTGTCCCTCATTTTCTTATAACTGTTATTTGCTGCCACTGGGGCCAGGGCTTAAAGAGGAGGAGAGAGAGAAAGCACATCGGCAGCAATGTTGGGTGAAGGAGGCAGAACATCCCTGCGCCGTCTCCCGTGTGTTGCCATACCGGGGAAGTGTTTGAGGAGTGATGTCGGCCTGGAGGTGGCTGCTGTGGTTTGTCAATCCGAGTCCTTCACCTAGCACGTGGGAGCTGTGCTTTGAGCTGCAGGTGACGGGTGCAAGCGTGCGTGTCCGTCCACCAGCCGTGGGCCGAGACAGGGAGCGTGGACCCAGGCAGCCATGGCCAGGTGGGGAGGGCTCAGCGGTGTGGCTGTTCCCACGGGTGCAGGGACCCCCGCGTGGGCTGTCCTCTGAGCGTGGCCTCGCTGGTGCAGTGGCACCTCACTGCTCACTCCTGCCTCTGCAGTGCTTGGCATCGTACTGGCTTATTCAAAAGGACCAGGAAGGGCAGCTCATTTGTTACCGCTTTTGGTTTACACTCCTGGTTTACAGCATCCCCAGTGACTGTGCAAAGGCGCAGTTTCAGGTAGCAATAATTTTCTCTTCTCTTGAGTGTCTCATACAGTAACTGAATTATAATAGGATGAGTCTGGGTAAAGATTGTATTTATAAAGACCTTATTAATACAGGCATGTCGAAATTGCCTTATCCCTTATAAATTATTTTAAGATGTGCTCTCACCCTTTTTAGAGACAGCCACATTGATTTACACCCTTCAATTTATGAGGGCTACATAAAGCCTGCTATAAACTAAGGCACAGACATTTATAAATGTCTCTGCAACATGTCATAACACATCTTATGGTAATTTATGCCATTAATCATTTATTAATTATTTTAAAAGGATGAATGCTATCCTCACTTGAAGTGTGTTCCCTCTTTCTCCCTCTGTCTGGCTTTTTTTTCCTCCATCCCTATCTCCCCTAATGCCCTTCCAACTGTTTAAAAGAAGTTCCTGCTATCTCACATTCAAGCGTTGTGAGAAGGTTCTTGTTTAAAAAAAAGGAAGTCGTTCTGCCTCAAGAATTTTTAGGAGAGCGAATTTGGGAGCCATTTCTTTTAAAATTAAGTAACCTATGCACAGGGATGCATGCGCAGGAAGTTGCTGTGTTGGCCGAGGCGCCCAGGGTGAGCTCAGCCTGTCGTGGCCTCGCGTCGTGGCAGCGCAAGGCAGGGGAGCGTCGCTGTTTGCTCGCAGTTGCAAAGGCCCTCTCCGGCCTGGCCGTATTAGGATGCTCTCAACTTGGCACAAACCCAGAGTGGCTTTTTCTCCCCTGTCCCTGAGCACATGCACTCTCTGTGCATGGTAGCCAGGCTGTGCAGAGCAGACCTACTTTATTAAAGATGAGGAAGGCTTTTAAATTTACTCGTATAATAACCTGAGCTGATTTACTCAAACTTACTGAACTTTCAGCAGGGCCTTTCTGTCCCAAGCACCCTGTAAGTCAGTCTAAGGTCAATTGACTGCTATATTCGAAAAGTCTTGTAGCAATTATTTCAGCATGAATAGGAATATTAAGTAATGGGCCCAAGCAGGGCTTGTGACTTCAGAGCTGACTTGGGTGCAGGATTAACAATCAGAGCATGTCTCGGCAGCGCTCACTCGCGTATTGATTCCCCCATCATGTGTCAACAAAAGGGGAGAAATGAAAGGAAGTGCAGATGAAAAATGGATCAAAGGTGGATGGAGCAAAAGTCCTGGTGGGGGCGATGACTCTTTTAATGTGGTTAAACCTATCTCCCGATAGCCATCTCTTCCCTTCCCCTTTTATAAACTTTGAAGTTCAAAATTCTCTCCTTGAAATCTCACCAAAGAAAGCTTCCGCACTATTTTTTTCACTTGCATTCAAGAGCACAGCCAGAGCCTGCAGCCAGCATCTCAGCCACCGCCGCTGTAATCCGAGCAACAAAGGCACCCAGCCCATGGCACGCTCTGGCTTTGGAGGCCCCGAGTGCAATTTAAATGTATATTTTTTTCTTCTGCTGATTGCTATCATCTTGTCACATACTCTGTTTGCCTCGGAATAAAGCAGGAGGGACTTGCACCATCTCTCTCTGGCTGAGCATCGAAAACAAGTTTGTAGTGAGAAAAACAAGAAAAAAAGGTTGAATTTCAAAAGCCTGCTCTGTTCTGGTGTCAGCATTTCTCCTTGCCTTTGAAATGTGTTAAAGCAGTTCTTTTTGTGAGAAAGCAGCCTGACGTCCAGAGGCCAGCAAGGCATCTTAGGTACCCATTCACCTAAGTGCTTTCAGTCCTTTTGTGTGCTGCAGAATATTACATATTTTCATTTACTCATTAGCTCTTTAACTGGGAAGGAGGTTTCAGGCACAGCCGGAGGTCGGCATTCAGCTCACTCTCAAGCTGTCTGTTTTGCTGACTGTTACAAAAATAAAGCGCCGCAGCTCCGTGCTTTCTCTCGGCTTCCCACCGCGCAGCTTTAATAGGGCTGCCGCCGCCGTCCCTCTCCCGGGAGGCAGAGTTGCCCTGCGAGCGGTGCCGCTCCGCGGGGCCCGTCCCTGTGCACCGGCACAGCCTGGGGCAGCATCGTGCCGAGCTAGCCAGCACGCCAGCAGCGGTCTGGTTGCATTACTGGATCGTAATGCTGGTTGCATGCCTTGTATTTAGCCCTGCATTGACAGGGAATGAGAGGCAGGGCTTACCACTCGGGCGCTGGAGCTGCTGTTGGTGATGAGGTGCGTGGTTAGTTTTTCGTTGCAATATTTTTGCCTTTGAAGGGTCACAAAGCTTCAAACTCTTTCAGAGCCATATCGGGGGGACGAAGCTGGGGGACCCTGCATCCCTTGCTCCCCTCTCCCACATCGGTAGTGCTATGCCTTGCCGTTTTCCTACTCAGGGCAGGAGCCTGGTGGGGCCAGGCCTGCCCGGGGCATGCTCCCATTCGGGGGGTGTCTGTCCCAGCAGTGAAGCATCCTCCAGGCGCTGCAGGGTGATGCGGGTTTGGCTGCCTGTCCAGCTGGTTCAGTATTTCAGAGGCTGCTGTAAGGTCAGTGGCCAGAACCTTTTGGATGGAGGAAAATGGGGAAAGCAGAAGAGCAAAACATGCAGCAGAGACGGAGCTCCTGCTGCTGGTCAGAGTGAGAGACCCTGAGCACCTCACAGGACCCCTCTGGGCAGCATCCTGCTTCTGCTCGCCCTCCCTGCGTCATGGCAGGGCTGATCCTCTGCTGAGGAGCTGGGAGAACTCCAGTCCCAGCTTCAAGTGGAGAGACTGAGGCGTGGAGCAGGAGCACCGCACTGGCACAGCCTGGGATCACACAGGGAGCCGGAGGTGGGGGCTGGCCCTGGCGCTCCCGAGGGTCTTGCTGTGCCAGTGCGCAGCGGCATGACGCTGCTTCTCTGCTGCCCATAGGCAGATGTGGCTGGTGGGGGACGTGAGAGATGAAACCCTCTTGAACATTCCCTTTAGCTTTCTAAACTGGAAAGTTTCCAGAAGGGCTAGAAGCCGTTTAGCCAAGTACAGTAATGGGGACATCCATCAAAATGTAAAAGGGAGAGCACCTGGCAGGATCCGGCAGGCACTAATTACCCAGGTCCTGCGAGCATAGGTGCCAGTCAAGAATGGGCCGCAGTGACTTACTGCATCCTCAGTGGAGCTGAGAAAAATCCGTAAGCCCGCATTAAAGCTGCTGTTTTACAGCCTCTGAGATGTAGTGACCTTTCAGTAACTGATATGGAAATGACACTTTGTTCTTAATTCCACCAGAGCTCAGTGCCCAAATTTATCCTAATTTTTTCATTAAAGCCTGTTGCTAAAAGGATGAGGGAACGGCGTATCCATAATTAGCACTGACTCAGAGTTTCCCTTTTATGACAAATATATCTGTCCCTGGGGTGGTCACTGTTGCAGGGGGAAAAATAACCTGATACACTTTGGCGTGGTATGTAGGATGTAACTGCATTATTATTTTCAGTGCAGCCCAAGCCTGGTGCAGTCTGGCACGGGTGCGTGGGCTGCGAACCCTGACAGCAGAGAGGAGCACAGGGGATGACAGGCGGAAGGCCTTCAGCTTAAAGTAAAACCACGGAGCTTCATGCAGGGATCGTTCCTCTCCCTTTTCCTCCTCCGTCCCGTCCTCCCCCAGCACCGTCACCTTGCAATGTTTTGAAATGCATGCTTGCGTAATTTAACTCTTTAGAGTTTGCTTATAGACGTATCTGTGCTTGGGGAGGCCAATAGCAGCCCCCTCCTCTCCCCTGGGATTCAGTAGGAGAAAAAGTCACAGATTTGCAAGGAATTCTTGGTAGTAATCTCTCGTGTTTGCTGGGACTTGGAACCACTTGCATGTTCCTCAGCACCAGCTGCTAGAGCTGCTCTGGGGTCCGAGGTGAATAGGGCAGATGTTGGTTTAGGTCTGGGGAGCCCAATCTGCAGCTTCGGTTCTTCGTCAGATCCAGGCACAGATGATGGCAGAAAGTTTGTGATCAGATAGCTGATAGATGGCTTTTGCCATGCGGAGCCCAGATCTGTTCTAAAAGACACCTTTAAGGCTCCTCCATCCCTGCCCGCAGCGGCTCACGCCAGTCCCGGCTCTGAGCCTCTGGCCGGCTGGCCGGGGGAGGGCGGGCGGCAGGGGTGGCCGGCAGCGTTGCAGTCCCCGCCATGGTCGTGGCCACGCTGCAGGCTCGGGCAGGTGTCCCAGCCCGTCCTCGGCTGAGCAAACGCCCCAGCGGTGGAAACACAGGGCTTGTCATGCAGACAGAGAGGGGGTTGTTAGTGAGACAGACAAGCTTGCGTGTGCATGCCTGCTTGTGTTTCTTCTTTTAAAGGGGCTTATATGAGGATACCCCGTATCCCCATGCGTTCCCACCTGGGTGTCATGAGCGTGCCAGGAGCAGGGCGTGAGGGAGGGGTGGGTCCCCGTGGGAGCAGAGCAGTGCCCTGCTGACATCTGCTAATGGCACCAGAGCAGCTCCTGTGACATGTGCAA